CGGTAATTTAAAAAAAGAATATATCACAACAATTTTGAACCATATCAATTAATACAGCATAGACAAGAGTTTTAATTACTCATTAATTCAATTTGACATACAAATTAGTTTTCGATGAGAATTACGTAATATATTCTGACTTATATTATGCTATAGAAACATAGTTTTTTTGACTATCGTGGGAAAACCCTGTAAATTTGCAGTATAGCAAAACCTACGTCAATTCAATTACATGAACGTTTTTAACACATTTTTTTGTGCTCAAATTTCCTGTGAATATAGGAGTTCAGTTTGTAATCGAATTGATGGCCTTTGGATAAAGGCAGAACCTATTCAAACTAGTTAAAATGATAAATCTCCTCGTAGTTCTCTTTCTCTAAATTTCCTGTGTTGTTCACATAGTCCACTATGATTTTTTKCAGAAATTCATAATATTTTTTCTGTCTGTAAATACTACTTTGAATTTACGAAGTGATGGAGAGAACTTCAGGTTGAAACACTCAAATTGCAGCCAAGTGCTGTCGCTCCTGGAGATGAATCCTAATTGGACGCGTTATGTTGTTTCATAATAATAATAATGATAATGGAAATATCAGTTGAGGTAGAGTTCGAGAAAAGTTCACGCAGACTAATCTTTTATTAAAAAGGTTTTTTTATATACAAAATTGAAGCTCCTTATATATAAAAGTATCCACAATAAACGTTTGGTAACAMAATTACCGTCGCCCACTGAATGCATATATTAAGCAATTAATTAAACAATATTCTCAAAGCAACAGGATATTTCATAAACATTTTTTTATCTTTTTCCAGCTGCTTTACTGCGGGGGAATAATTATCAACTCGAGGAGAAGAATTTTCAACAATGCTCTCGAGGATGTACATGTAGAGAAAACGGGATTAGYCAACATAAAAATGGCTTGATTTGAGCAATTTCTTGAAAATTCGAATTCGAATAAAGACATAAACAGGAGCAACTCCTCAAGTATAATTTATTCCTTGATTCGATAACTTCAAAATCTAAGCTATGTTTAGAATCTTATCTTTTCAAGTGCCAGTATGTTAGAAATAGAATCGATGCAATTAAACGGAACCAGATGTGCACACAAAAGCAGKTWYWTAGGTTTTTCTTTATTTTTTTTT